GTAGGGTTATATTAAATGTACATCAGACAGTAGCCAGTACGCATTATAATTACAGAGCAGCTTTACGTCATTTAGTGGTCGGGTTTGAACTCACTTCTTGGTCATAGCACTGATGACGTCTTCTTCCAGCCATTCAACGCATTTGATGATTTTGTTGGGGTCGGCAGGAGGGGGGTACAGCTTCTCGTACAGGACTCGCTCGTGCAGGTGACAGTACGCTGTGGAGATGTGCAAGAATGCCTGCAACAAACACAGCGACTCTGTCAGAAACTGCAGTGCACAAGTTAAAAAATTTCCGTCTGTGTAGACAGGTCACTTTCGCTACTGTGCCTTTCCACTCTTTTAAACTGAGACCTAGCGCCACGTGTAATTAATTGTTGGAGGAAATGCAGACGTAAACTCGGAAGGAAGAAAGAAATACAAATTCATAAGCAAGGAAAGGGAAAGTACGAACAAAAGTGATGACATTGATGGTGTTCTGGCCTATTGCGCTGTGTGCTAACGTTTTGGAGGCATACTGCCTCCATTCCTCCGGGCTGAAGTGAGGAGTGCTGGGGCTCTGAATGACCAGTTTTCGTGGCCTTAACCATCTTAAACCATTTGCTTCCTAACTCTCCTGACTTCAGGCCTCAATTTGGAGGCAGTGTGTCCCTCTGAAACGTTTGCATATCGCCGTGGAATCCTCACATACTGGGAAAGTGGTAAACATATATAAGAATTAAACATCCATATATTTAGATAAAAATATCACAATAATCGGATAAGCAATAAATGCGCAGACCATTGCATGGGATGGAAGTCACAGAAATGCCCTTTGGTTTGCGAATTACAAACGGACTGGTAAAAGAGAAATCAACTCTTGGTGCAGCAGCCAATAATGTCTCATATTTAAACGAAGAGTTATTTGCTTAATGAAGATATTCATAACTTTATGATTCGCCCACTAGTATTGTCGTTATTAAAAGGGATGTTGACAGCGTGTGAGAGATGCACGTAAAGCACTATTCGGAAAGCCTCCAAAAATAGCCCACTTGGGAGACATAAACATAGATGGGAGGACAATATTAAAATGAATGTGGGAATATTAGTGTGAGAAGGTGCATACTGGATATAACTGATTTAGGGTTGGATCCAGAGGATATTTTTTTTGCGAACACTGACGAACCTCCCGATTCCATAACAGCAGTTAGGCCTACAGTAATTTCTTGATCAACTGAGGAAAAACGTTTACAGGTGACCTGGAACGGCGGAGTTAGGGGGACGTCAGGCATGTAAAAACAGGCACATTATGCACTTGAAACACGAACCACCTGTCATCTATTGTAATAATTATGAAACATAACTTACTATTGCGATGGTTTGCCACATTGCATTGAGAAATCTAGGAAGTAGGTCATAGCTGTAAGCCATTGGAACAAATTGCTTCGGTAATATGAAATTGTTATTTTATTAATGTGAAAGTGTCGAGTCACTATTAGTCTGAACATAATTCTCTATTCCTTCTTTAGTTATCTTATTAGAAATTCTATGACTTGCAACAGTGTATAAAGTATCGTGAATATACGTGTTTAACCGATCCGACCTCGTTCTGTAGGTAGCCCTATTTTGTTTGTTCATCACTGCGACACTAGGATATTAACTGAATTACTCACTATGCAAAATATAACTAGCTAACTATGAAAATAACTACCTGAATTAGATTAATTAACTTAAAAAATTAAATGAAAAAAGTTTCTAACAGATTTTACTAGCTGAACTATCTGAAACGAAAACTAACTTTGCGAAACCGGCTAATGCAGCGTATTAACAGAATTAAATAAACTAATGCAAATAATTTAACAAATTTAAGTAACTAAAGCAAATGAACTGCCAGGATTTTTACTACGTAGGCTTATCAAGAAATTTACAGTGTAACTAAGGTGACGTATCCAGTCTAATGAATCTAAGTAACTAAATATCGATTGCTTCATTTAAAACGCAGCCCTAACTGCTACACATAACCTCTCCACGTAAATCTACTGTACCAATGACAATATTGAATTCTTACAGCCGTATGCCGTTGTTATAGCTGATGCACTGCTGGAATCGGTACGACCGTCAGTTCATGTTTTATCAGTCTATGAGCACTATTAACAGATAAACACTTCCTGTGTCCCAAAATGTTGTTATCAGTCGGTGTAGTATTGTCTTTAATAAAGTCTTCTCGGGCTATCAGCCGTGTTAGATGGTGCTTAATCGCCGACGTTTCGAGGACTGAGATGGTCCTCGAAACGTCGGCGATTAATCACCATCTAACACTGCTGATAGCCCGAGAAGACTTCATTAATGAAAGCTTCTCATCATACAATAGTATTGTCTTGTTTGGCATTTCCTTGCCAGGATACGCATATCTAAATGATTTACGAACAGCAGCAGACGATTTTGATGCGAAGTGATGTTCGAGAATGAACACACGTCCAGCCCGTGAATACGCAATGTTTTCATCTGCACAGCTTTTGCGCAACTGACGTGCGTAGCGGCCTAGCAACCAGGGTAACTTAGACTCGAGTGT